TCTTAAAATTTTATTTCAAATTCGAATAAAATAAATAAATTGAACAATAAGTGGGGTAGATTTTTTTTATGTAGTGAAAAATAATATTAAAAAACAAACTAACACTCATATATATACATGACAAATATATATATATACATGACAAATTCATAATATATATATATATATATATATATGCGGTTTTTAAAAGAATGAATAAAAATCAACATTAAGGTCGGTCTATATAAATACATTAAAGTTCATGATGCAAAAAAGTATAATGTATTTAAAATTATAAAGTATATTACATTAATATGTACATACATTATTACCCACCTTAATGTGTTACACATATTTTGGGTGTTTCTGATAACATTTTTCCAATTTAAAATGAAATGTTATTGATTTCAAATCAAATATTACGATTTTCAATTGAATTTATTTGAAAGTTGGATGGAATTTTATGAATTTCAAATGGAATTTTAGTAATTTCCAATGGAATTTTACGATTTTCAAATGGAATTCTGTAAATTTCAAATGGAATTCTGCGAATTTCGAAAGGTGTTCTATGAATTACAAATGAAATTCTCGAATTACAACTGAAATGTTATGAATTGCAAATGGAATTCTCGAATTGCAAATTGTATGTTATGAATAACAAATGGAATTCTCGAATTACATTTGAAATGTTTTGAATAACATGTGAAAAAGGTGTAGATGAGGAATCGGAATTTGGTGGAATCAAACTACACCTTTTTCAAATGTTATTCAAAACATTTCAATTGCAATTCGAGAATTTCATTTGTAATTCGAAAACTTAATTTGCAATTCATAACATTTCACTTGTAATTCGAGTATGTAATTTGTAATTCACAACATTTCATTTGTAATTTTAAACTTTTCGTATGAAATTCAAAAAATTACATTTGAAATTTAAAAAATTTCATTCGTAATTCGAATATTTCAATTTGAATTTCGTGGAGTTTCATTTGAAATTCAAAGAAATCCATTTGAAATTCAAAGAATCCAATTTGAAATTCATAACATTTCACTTGTAATTCATAAAATTTTTGTTGTAATTCATAACAATTCATTTCAAATTCATACATATTCCTTTTGTGTTACCAATAATATTTTTCGAATTTAAAATTAAATGTTATGAAAAACAAATGGAATGTTATGTATTTCAAATCAAATGTTAAGAATTTCAAATGGAATTATTTAAATTTCAAATGGAATTTTATTAATTTCAAGTGGAATTTTATGAATTTATGAACGCAAATACAGTATTTTTCGGTTAATTGACCCTACGGTTAATTGGTTTCCACGCTTAAATGAACCACATGATGGGGCAAAAATATTTCATAGGAAAATACATGTAAATTTTCTCGGATTATTAAACCCTGTTAATTGATTTTCCCGCTTGGTTCAAAATTCATGTCATCAAAAATAAATTTCCTTTTACTTTTCATCGGTTAGTTGCATAATTAATAATTGACAAATAATCCGTCATTTTTTACATACATATTTGACATAATTTAATGTTTATTGCTAAGGAAAAACTGCGAGAAAGCGTAATTTGTATTTGACATTGGATTTTTTTAAATCATTAGTAGTTCCAATTATACGTAATTACCGTAATTGAACAAACTATTCAATTAAGCGGGTTCGGATAATTGGTTCCTCGGTTAATTGAACCAAAATTTGTGCAAATTTTGATGTGCAATTAACCGAAAAATACTGTACTTGGAATTCCCAATGGAAGTTTATGAATTTCAAATGGAATTCTATGAATTTCGAAAGGTATTCTAGGAATTACAAATGAAATTCTCGAATTACAGCTGATATGTTGTGAATTGCAAATGGAATTCTCGGGTCGATGTTTTCATATCCTTCACCATGATAATATCAATACCACTTATTTGTGGATAGAAAAATTCTTAGAGCCACAGGTCTGTGACAGTTTTTCTATAGAAAAATTCTCAGACCCACAGTTCTGTGACAATTTTTCTATCCACAAATAAGTGGTATTGATATTATCAATATCAATACCAATATTGATATTATCAGACCCACAGGTCTGTGACAATTTTTCTATAGAAAAATTCTCAGACCCACAGGTCTGTGACAATTTTTCTATAGAAAAATTCTCAGACCCACAGGTCTGTGACAATTTTTCTATAGAAAAATTCTCAGACCCACAGGTCTGTGACAATTTTTCTATAGAAAAATTCTCAGACCCACAGGTCTGTGACAATTTTTCTATAGAAAAATTCTCAGACCCACAGGTCTGTGACAATTTTTCTATAGAAAAATTCTCAGACCCACAGGTCTGTGACAATTTTTCTATAGAAAAATTCTCAGACCCACAGGTCTGTGACAATTTTTCTATAGAAAAATTCTCAGACCCACAGGTCTGTGACAATTTTTCTATAGAAAAATTCTCAGACCCACAGGTCTGTGACAATTTTTCTATAGAAAAATTCTCAGATCCACATGTCTGTGACAATTTTTCTATAGAAAAATTCTCAGATCCACATGTCTGTGACAATTTTTCTCTAAAAAAATTCGCATATTCTCAAAAGGAACCCTGGGACTATCTCGATTCTTTTGGCCTGTTACAAAAATATGCACAAAGACAAAGGGTATTATGTCTTTGTGCAGTGTGGTGAAGGGTATAAATATAACAGACCTGAGAGTCAGATAATTTCTCTATAGAAAAATATAACAGACCTGAGAGTCAGAGAATTTTTTTAGAGAAAAATATAACAGACCAGAGGGTCTGAGAATTTTTCTATAGAAAAATATAACGGACCAGACGGTCTAAGAATTTTTCTATATAAAAATATAAAAGACCAGAGAATTTTTCCCTAGAAAAAATTTAATAGACCTGATGGTCTGTGAGTGTTCTGACCCTCAGGTCTGTGACAATTTTTCTATAGAAAAATTCTCAGACCATCAGGTCTATTAAACTTTTTCTAGGGAAAAATTCTCTGGTCTTTTATAGTTTTCTATAGAAAAATTCTCAGACCCTCTGGTCTGTTAAATATTTCTATAGAAAAATTCTCAGACCCACCGGTCTGTGACAATTTTTCTATAGAGAAATTATCTAACTATCAGTAGGTCTATTCTGTAACTTTTAACAACATTCGATATTGTTTAATTTTCTTTTGTTATTGTAAAAACAACAAAACAAACAAATTGAATTGTTGTAAAATAAACAATGTCGAATATTGTTAAAAAGTTACAGAATAGGCCTACAGGTCTGTTATATTTATACCCTTCACCACACTGTGGTACAGGGTATTATGTGTTTGTGCATATGTTTGTAACAGGCAAAAGGAAACGAGGTAGACACATGGTTCCTTTTGAGAATATGTATAGAATCACTTTCTGAGTCGATTTATGCATGTCCGTCCGTCCATCCATGTTAAATCGTAAACAAAGTACAGGTCGCATTTATGGTCCGAATTGGATGAAATTTTACATAAGTCACTTATTCGGCCCAAGGACGAACCCTATTGAAATTGGGATAAATCGGTCCAAATTAGATATAGCTCCCATATATATTTTCGTCCGATTCAATATGGTGCACCAATGTCCTTATATATTTTCGATTTGCACGAAATTTGACATAATGTACTGAACTGAACATGGAGTGATGTCTGCCAAGTTTCGTGAAAATCGGTTCAGATTTAGATATAGCGCTCATATATAGTTTCATCCGATTTTATGTAAATTGTGCACCAATCTCCCTATATATTTTTCTATTTGCACGAAATTTGACATAACGTACTGAACTGAACCTGGAATGATGTCTGTCAAGTTTCTTGAAAATCGGTTGAGATCTAGATATAGCTCCCATATATACTTTCGTCCGATTTTATGTAATATATATCTTTTGATTTGCACGAAATTTGCCATAGCGTTCTGAATTGAGCCTGGAATGATGTGTGCTGAGTTTCGTGAAAATCGGTTCAGATCTAGATATATATATTTTCGTCCGATTTAATGTAAATAATGTACCTAAGTTCTAATATTGCATAGCGTACTGAATTTAATCCAGAATGATGTGTGCCAAGTTTTGTGAAAGTGGGTTGAGATTTAGATATAGCTCCCTTATATATTATCGATTGGTTTTAAGTAATTGACGCACCAATGAACCAATATATGGCTGATAGGAACAAAACGTACTGAAATTAGTATAACCTAACCTGACAAAAATTCCTTTAAAACGGTTCATTTTTGGATATAGGTTCCATATATATTTTCGTCGGATTTTAAGTAAATGGCGCATCATTCAATGCATTCTAGAAGTACAGACATAGCCCAACGGATGTCCTATTGATATTTGTTTGAAGTCAATTCACATTTAGATAAATATCACATATTTTATTTCATCCAATTTCATGTTAATAGTCCTGTTTAATATATCCATAGTGGTGAAGGGTGTCATATAGTCGGCCCCGTCCTACTTCACTGGTTTTCTATAGATATATAAAGCGTGGTTTTCTACGGATATTTATTTAGGTATTTTAATACTAAACATTTTCAAATCTTGTGGCAACATTTTCCCACGATCTCTTACTAATGTCTATAGCTGAGAGAATAGATCGTAGATTGGGGTTGGAAAAAATAAAATTATTAATTATGGTACACTATCGTACCATACTGTACAACTTACCGCCTTATGTATTTAGCTATCAGTAGAGTAAAATTCATACAAAAAATATATTCTCTGTACTCTCCCTCGTCAGAATGTGAATTTTATTCGAAAAATTTATCTTACAAAATTTCGTACAAATAAATTTTTTTCCAACACTGATCGTATCTCTGTTTGACTGACGAAGTCAACTGAGTCGTATCGTATGGTTCGTTAGCTGACTGGCTTGACTTCAGTTGCTGTTCAACTGGCGTTCAAGCAGGTATTCTTCACCGCATTCGTATTCATACTAGCGGTAGCTGTGGCATTCTATCCGAAAAATTCAAAAATAAATTTCGATTTTAAATCCAACAACAAAATGGCAGTTAGTTTTGTTCACATCCCAGCTGGCAGCGATTTTCCATTGGAAAATTTACCCTATGGTGTATTCTCGACAAAATCAAATGTAAGTAAATAATAAAAAAAAACTATTTTTTTTCTAAAGTGGAATGTGGTCCACATGTGTGACAGTTAAATTAAAAGAGTAGAAAAAACAATAAAAAATCCTGTTCTACTTGTTCGCCGTATATTTCAAATCAATATTCTAAAATAGAAATAGAAAATAAAACTATAAAAAACAATATTTAAACAACAGGGCTCTAGACCAGAATGATCTGCATATTATAACTAGCATTTACATAAATTAGACTTGTTTTTCCAACTGGCTGTGATCTGGTGGTTGGTTGAACCACAAACAAGAGCAACAAAGTAGCCATCCACTTGGCCGGCATCGAACAGCCACCAGCCGGTGTTGATAACAACAAGTCAACAGATTTTTATTTTCTTCTTCTTATTTTGGAATTCAGGTGTAATAAAAAATTCTAAAATATTTAAATTGGTGTGTGATAATATTTTTGTTATTGTTTGTGCTTGTTTATCTTCTATGTTAATTTCTCTCTTGTCTTTCTTTTATAGCCCCGCAAACGTTTGGGTGTTGCCATCGGTGACAGTGTTTTGGATTTGAATGGTGTTGCCTCCTTCTATCCACCAGAAGTTCAGGTATGGAATTTTTTGTTTGTTTGTGTGGTGTATAACAGTTGACAATTATCCTTTATAACACTTTTTACCACAGGATGCTTTGCAAGCCGAGACATTGAACAAATTGATGAGCCTTGGCTACACTGCCTGGCAAGTAGTTCGGGCAAAAACCCAGGAATTGTTGTTGAAGAACTCCGTTTTGGAACAGAATGCTGCTTTGGTGCAAAGGTAAGGATAACAAGGACTAGAGGATATTAATTAAAGGGTAAACCGAGACACAAACCTAGAGATTTTTTTCAAGCACTATGTTTAAGGGTCAACGAAGCCACTAACATCGATTTTAAGGGAATATTTTTTCCATGACTACCAGGACCACAAGCTTAGGTATTTAAGGATATTTAAGGATTTTAAGGACAAGGTAAGGCGTGGATTTTTTAGGAGTCACAACCTAGATGTAGATTTTAGTAGATTCCAAAAAATATTTTTTATTGGACAGATGCAAGCGTAGATTTTAAAGAATATTTTTTATAAAAATGTTTAAGGGGCAGAACCTAGGCGTAGATTTTTTTAAAAACATTTTTAAGGACCTAGACCTAGATTTTTTAAAAACATTTTCAAGGACCTAGGCGTAGATTTTTTTAAACACATTTTTAAGGACCTCGGCGTAGATTTTTTAAACACATTTTTAAGGACCTCGGCGTAGATTTTTTAAACACATTTTTAAGGACCTCGGCGTAGATTTTTTAAAATATTTTCAAAGAGGCAGAACCTGAAGGTCGTTTACTTTTTATGTTACTTTTTCCTATAGAAAAAATTCTCATTATTATTTTTTTTTATAGAAAAAATTGTCAGACCATCAGGTCTGGTACTTTTTTCTATAGAAAAAAATTCTCAGAACTTAAGGTCTGGTAGTTTTTTTTTTTTGAAAAAAATTCTCAGACCCTCAGGTCTGGTGCTTTTTTCTATTGAAAAAAATTCGCAGACCCTCAGGTCTGGTGCTTTTTTCTATTGAAAAAAATTATCAGACCCTCAGGTCTGGTACTTTTTTCTATAGAAAAAAATTCTCAGACGTTCAGGTCTGGTACTTTTTTCTATAGAAAAAAATTCTCAGACCCTCAGGTCTGGTACTTTTTTCTATAGAAAAAAATTCTCAGACCCTCAGTTCTGGTACTTTTTTCTATAGAAAAAAATTCTCAGACCCTCAGGTCTGGTACTTTTTTCTATAGAAAAAAATTCTCATACCCTCAGGTCTGGTACTTTTTTCTATAGAAAAAAATTCTCAGACCCTCAGGTCTGGTACTTTTTTCTATAGAAAAAAATTCTCAGACCCTCAGGTCTGGTACTTTTTTCTATAGAAAAAAATTCTCAGACCCTGAGGTCTGGTACTTTTTTCTATAGAAAAAAATTCTCAGACCCTCAGGTCTGGTACTTTTTTCTATAGAAAAATTTTTCAGAACCTCCGGTCTAGTATGTTTTTCTATAGAAAAAATTCTCAGATCGTCAGGTCTGGTACTTTTTTCTACATAAAAAATTCTCAGACCCTTAGGTCTGGTACTTTTTTCTATAGAAAAAATTCTTAGACCCTTAGGTCTGGTACTTTTTTCTATAGAAAAAATTCTCAGACCCTCAGGTCTGGTACTTTTTTCTATACAAAAAAAATCGCAGACTCTAAGGTCTGGTACTTTTTTCTATAGAAAAAATTCTCATACCCTCACGTCTGCTACTTTTTTCTATAGAAAAAATTCTCAGACCCTCACGTCTGCTACTTTTTTCTATAGAAAAAATTCTCAGACCCTAACGTCTGCTACTTTTTTCTATAGAAAAAATTCTGAGACCCTCAGGTCTGCTACTTTTTTCTATAGAAAAAATTCTCAGACCCTCAGGTCTGGTATTTTTATCTATAAAAAAATTCTCAGGCTCTCAGGTCTGTTACTTTT